CCCCCTTTTTTTTTTTTTTTTTTTTTTTTTATCAGAGCAATCCCCTGTTTATATTGAAACTGAAGTTTTATCAGTCTTATTTTTCCGTGTTATTCAGACAACTGGAAATGTGAGGTGTTGACCAAAGAAAACCCTTCTTCGGATTAACAAGGCTTTTATCACTTTATCCAAACACATTTTTCCTCTGTTCCCTTCCAAACTGTTAAACAAATCTGTAGATTGGCAATTTATATCACTGGGGGGAAAGTTTCTGTTTTTAGAGCCACATAATTGTCTACAGATATTCTGTGTTCTCTTTGAGCACAAAACTTCAAGTGATGTCACTAGGAGAAATCTTAGCATGTAGGAAGAACAGAGTATCAAAGACATGCTAGTTTGAAAGAATGGTATATTTTCTTCTATACCATTGTGGAATTATGCATGTCTACGTATACGTGTGTGGTTTGGTTTTATTTTTCTTACTTAAATTAGATCTTCTCTTGGACTAATTTTTTTTCCTTTTGATTTGTCATCGCTTGCTATTTGTGATGCTGTTTGCTCATATGTCATGTTAAAAGTGTGTGTTTTCAGTTTTGTACATCTCTCTACCGTTGTTGTAAACTACTTTTTTAAAAAAAGAGTTGATAAAATCCTTGCCCTGTTGGGATATGGATTTTTTCCTTCCATCTTCTTTAATGGAATCTTACAAAACAAACTCTCATTTTCAGAGGCAGATACAAATATATGCATGTAATGTAATGTTAGCATAAAGGGGAAAGCTTTTTAAAATAGAAGGGAGTAGGGGGAGGGGAACCCTTTCCAAGGAGCAGCTGTTACTTATGACAAACAAGTCTCCACCAGTCCTCAGGAAGATGCTGCAGACTGTGTTTCACTGCAGTGCAGCCAAGGAAGTTCAGTTCTTGGGCTCAGTTCTTTATGGTTTGTGTGTTTTGAATTTGATTCTCATTGCTACAGATGTAGTTTAATTATTTAATTCAGTCACTTTCTTTCAAAAGTAGGGAAATAGAGCTAATAATTCAGTTCCTCACCTGTACTTAACAGCCCCATCACTTTGTGTACATGAGTAGTTCAGTCATAGAAAGCATAGTAGCTTTTTGTTTAGCTGTCACTTTTGAATTGGCAGAGTGCCTTGCCTTGGGTACAAATAAATTCATATTCTCAGTATACTGATTTCTGTGGCTTGTTTTGTTAAGACAAAAAAACACCCTTTTTATTAACTTTTAGGTTCTGGTAAAGTTGTAATTTAAACCCAGCCTGGACAAAATGCAATATGCACATAGAGGCAAGTCTGTTGTATCTTCTTGTTCTGATTCAGTAACTCATTTGGTGCATTTTGTAGTGACTTGGTATTCTCTAAGCAATTTCAAATGAAGTGATTTAAGTGGGGGGGTTGTTTTGGTTTTTTTTGGTTTGTGTGTTTTGTTTTGTTTTTTAAAGGAAAAACAGTTAAGCATTGTGCTTTTTAGTTGTTAAATGTGGCAGAATGAAACCATTTTTTGATACAGGAAATTTATTTTACAGCAAAAAGTTGTCTTTATATGATGATTCATGTAAACTGTGTTGGAACTCTATCCAACTTAAGCATTAATCTTTTAATGGCATTTGAATTCCACTGAATTGTTTAAATTCATTGGTTTTAGTGGAGAGCCATAAACCTTAAAATGGTCTAGTCCCATCTTTGCCACTCAAATCTTGAAGTGATTTAAAAAAAAAAGTCATGTCACAAATTGGACAATGAACTAGAAAATCTGTTTGGAGCAGAAATCCTGCATTGGAAGCAGCTGAGCTAGATATTCCGTCTTTTAACTAATTTGACTAAATGGAATTGCTATAGGAAAAAAGAGTAAATATATCTAATCATATGTGGTATGTCAGCCCATTTTGAAATAGGTTTTATTTAAATTTTTATAATTAAACATATTACCTGGTTATAACTCTCACTTAATTTAATGCAGCTTCCATGTGTGAGAAATACCATTTTAAAATGATCATTAACACAATTGCATTGGCACAAGACTAACATACAGACAACAGTTTTATGGACAGAATATACGTGTCCTAAATTTTGGGGCTTTTACATATGCTGCTGATTTTAAGATGCAGCAAATCAAGTAATACTGGTACTAGTTCCTGTTTGTTTTTCAGCTACATTCAGATGCTGCAGTTGCATTAGTCTAAACACTGGATAATTTGCCTCATTTATAAGGGGTTTTTTTCTGCTTTCAGAGTTTGATTACAAGCATCTGCCTTACAAAAGACTTAAGGTTAATGTCCAGTGAGTGGGTGTATTTATGTATGTATCAGTTTTGCAAAACTCTTCTGGTCCTGCATGAATAGTGTGGTTTTAGGATTGTGGTAGTTGTGTGTGAAGTTCCCTTTTTTGGGAAGGGATACAAGGGGAAGGAAGGATTATAGATTATAAATATCTGGAAATTTATATCTTTGTTGCTTATTCTTAGTCACCATAATAAAAAGAGATGGGTAAGACCTTGTGTATTGAGATGGCAGTTCTGGAGGATGTGTACTTTTTGTGTACAGGGAGTTGTTTATAGCTAGACATTTGCCTTTAGAGTTTGTCACTGTGGAAAGCTAAAATGTATTTGGTGGTTCCCTACTGAGTTATCAGAGGTGAGATGAATTGCAAGAGGCTGTCCAAATAACTATCCTGCAAGGCAAAACTCATTGTTTCCTCCTCCTAGTTTAGTGTCCAAGCTCTGCCGGCTGTCATGTCTAGAGAAGGTGGTAGGGCTCTTGATTACCTCTTCATTAAATACTCTGCACAATGCTGTAGAAGACTACCCTTGCCCTAAAGAGTCCTGCATGCACACACTCGCATAGTCAGTAAGTCTTAATATGGAAATCTTAAGTATTGTATCTTTTTGCTCTCTACAACTTACCTTTTTATTTTCTAGCACTTCTCACTCTCTTTTAGAAAATTCAGACTGGATTGGGTTATTGATAGTCATCTTGTGGAGGATCACTGTCTAGATAGGAATTATTTTATATTATTTTATTTTGGAACTTCCATGTTTAATTATCAAACTGTCACGTGTGTGGCAAAACCTTGCCATAGTACCTAGTATCTTTAGTCCTCAACAGTTATACCTTCATCCATGTCCTCATCAAATTAGAGTTCACCATCATTTATGATCAGTGTTTTATGTATCTTGTTTTCCTTTCTCATTTCTTTCTGCAAGTAGCGTGTAATACGAATATGACATTCATTGTGAAGGCGATAATGCTGAAGGATGTTGGTATATAGGTTCTCTTGTCCTGGCATATTGTTTCCTAACTTTTGATCTTTTGAATGCAGCGTAATTCTCAAAATAATTGAATGGATGATGATACATAATATTTTACTATTGCATCCCACTCATGTGCAATACAGAAAGAGAATATGCATTAAATTTTTTATTTGCCTGATGTGAGTTATAATTAATTTTAGCAGAGTTTTGAGACTTGTATTGGAGAGCTTCGTAATAGACATTTGTATCCTAAGTGGTAAGAATTCCATAATTCTGTGTTCCTGGCATTCTAAATCTAATGAATATTTTCAAACTTGTCCAAATATGAAGGAGTTCAATAAGCATTCAACCTAGCTACTATAAATTTACCTTCTCTTGGTGCTGAAAAATATCCCATTGGCAGGGAGATGTGACAAGATGAACTTTTGTTCTTAATCCCCAAACTTTAGGATAGATTTTTTTTTTGTTAAGGCGAGTGAAGAATTGCTCCAGATTTATAACAAGTGTTTAAATAAAGTTATTCTGAACTTAGTTTAAGAATGGGAAGCAACTTAGTAGTATTATACAGTTTGTGTTGTCAGCAAAATGGGGAAAAAAGTCCCGTTTCAATGTGTTAACCATCTTTTTCATTCTATGCTATATGAGTTCTTGATTATTGACCAACTTGTAAAGGGGACTTTTGTCATCTTCTAATCAGTATCTGTCTTGTCAATAAAAAGACACTAACAGAGAAATTTACAAATGTTACTTCGGCTGCTACATTTTTCCTAAAGAGAAAGGGGCACTTTAAAATGACTCCAAGTATGGGCATACTGCAGTGTCCACCACTGAGAAACATGACAGAAATGACAAACTCTTTTGATAGGGAATTAGCAAGTGGTCTGAACTTTTTGACACGTGAAAAAGAATAAGTGAAGGCCTGAAAAAGAGCACTTGTGGACCTTTATTAAATAAATGAATAAAAGCGTGCTTTAAAGCCTCAACAACTGATGACAAAAGCTTCCCTGAAATAGCATTCCTGAGATGTTATAATATGGTCTCCTTGTATCAGAAAACTGACAACTGAAGACAGGACATGTCACCTGAGATCCTGAAACCAGAAACATAAAATAGTAGTTCTATACTCATGGACTTTGGCATTAACTAATCATGGGAAAACCACTACCTGCTACAGAAGTGGAGGCTCTGATTTGCCAATATCTACTTGGCTTCTTCTCTGGAACAGAAGACTTCTACTAATATGTTGCCTATTAATATGTTGTTGAGAGTTCAGTGGTTTAGAACCATATTGTACCTTCATCCAGTGACACATCTGTA